TTAAATAACTTATGTTTTTACAGAGGTTGGGAGATTAGGAATTTGGGACAGCGGCTTTTGAGAATTTAGATAATTGGGAAATTGGGGGTTTAGGGACTTGGGAAGCTTGGAGTTTGGATATTTAGGAAATTGGGGATTTGAGGTGGGAATCATGGAGTTTGGATATTTGGGAAATTGGGGATTTAAGGATTTGGGAATCATGGAGTTTGGATATTTGGGAAATTAGGGATTTAAGGATTTGGGAATCTTGGAGCTTGGATATTTGGGAAATTGGGAATTTAAGGATTTGGGAAGCTTGGAGTTTGGATATTTGGGAAATTGGGGATTTAAGGACTTGGAAATCTTGGAGTTTGGCTATTTGGGAAATTGGGGATTTAAGGATTTGGGAATCTTGGAGTTTGGCTATTTGGGAAATTGGGGATTTAAGGATTTGGGAATCTTGGAGTTTGGATATTTGGGAAATTGGGAATTTAAGGATTTGGGAATCTTGGAGCTTGGATATTTGGGAAATTGGGGGTTTAAGGACTTAGAAATCTTGGAGTTTGGCTATTTGGGAAATTGGGGATTTAAGGATTTGGGAATCTTGGAGTTTGGATATTTGGGAAATTGGATGGCAATGTTAGAGTTTGGATATTTGGGAAATTGGGGGTTTAAGGACTTGGAAATCTTGGAGTTTGGATATTTGGGAAATTGGGGATTTAAGTACTTGGAAATGTAGGAGTTTGAACATTTGGGAAATTGGGGGTTTAAGGACTTGGAAATCTTGGAATTTGGATATTCGTAAAATTAGAAAATTGAGGATTTAAGGACTTGGAACTCTTGGAGTTTGAATATTTGCCAAATTTTTGACTTTAATATAAGAAACTTGGTAATTTCTAAATTTGCAAATTTAAAAATTCCTAAAGTTTAGAAATTCGTGAGTACAAAGTTCTTAAATTTGAAAAAGTTTGATAATTTGAAAAATTTGAAATTCATATCCAACATGTTAATAAGTAACTGTTTAATTAGATAAACAAGAAAGTTTCTTAGAACAATGGCCTTCTATAAGAGTTCATGCATGAACTATCAAAGACTTCAATATAAATAGTTGATCATGAATCAGGTTCACAATGCCGCGATAAATTACAAGTTAGGATAATGTATCATTGTGTGGATATAATTCGATAGTGTCCGTGTATATTTCAATTAAACGATAAATCCCGATTACACGGTCGGTCTTAATAAACAACAATACGGGCCGATCTGTTTTTCCAACGCAAATAGATCCTCGATGCACTTGCCAAAACTTACGCAACCCTTTATCAGATACTTGCATTCGCTGGCATTCCGTAACCTACATTTCAAAAATACACAATCAGATTTGAGAAGCGGGTAGAAGCACGTGAAACGATCTTGGTTATTTATAACTAGCCGATTTTCGTGGCTACCTATATTTCCGAAATTTGACTGTCGTTCTGTTTGTAGGAAAATTTCGGAATTCCTGCGTTTCATCTTACAGTGCTTTTACTGGCTCAGGTTTCTATTTATTCTCGGTAAAAAATTCAAATCCCATGATAGAAGATCAGACAATGCATCAAATTATATTTGTCGGAATGTTTTGGTAGTTTTATTCTTCTTTCGTGAAATTAGACATCTATGTAGAAAAGAAAGCTGTAAACTTGTCTCTGAAAATTAGAATTTTCTCCAAACTATCTGAAGAAGCAAACCGTTAGTCCAGCCTTCCTCCTTCTATCTTCTATTTCCTCCCACAAATTGGTAAAACCACCACTCCATAACCAAAAAATTGTTTACTTCACACACACCAAAATGTAAAAATATCAGAAACGATTCAACATTCAACCAAATCACTTTAAAACCTACTACAAACCTATTGCTGAATAAATTCAATCAGCGCCTTATCTATATTTATAATTTTTCTACCTATCTTATACATAAACGAGTTCACCCGACATATTGGGTGCAACTATTGTGCTACCTTCAAGAATCATCGAGAAGAGCACGGTATTATAAATCTCGAAGTATCCCTATATCCACAGATATATCTAAATACTATGTCCATAAATCTCCATAATTCCTAAATAACTGTATGCACCTCTAAATCCCTGGGTACCTCCAGATGTCTTTAAATGACCGTATTCCCACACCCCTAAAACTTGTGACGAAGTTAAATTACACTAATTTGCTAATTTCAAACATGAACTAGCATGTGAATCTGTCCTGTACCTGTGGAAATCGGCCCTTAGCGTATTTTTCGTGTCCACGAACGTAGTTTCATCGATACACGTGGCGAAGCAACTTTGTGGCCCTGGTTGCATCGTGGCGTGATTAATTCGTAATCGTGACGCTCGAACAACGGGAAAACTCGACTTTTTTTTTTCACAACGTCCTCGTGCCTCTTCTCTCCAAGCTGCTGTTTCTGATCGCGTTGAACACCAGCATTGTTTCTTGTAAACGTGGGTCGTGCATGTTGCGCTGCTAGTCCGTGTGCGTGACCGCGATCGATGGTGCTCTGAACGTCTCTGTTTAACGTTGCACACGTGTACAGTCCAATAAACGTGAAAAATTCATCGTTTGTTGGGTTTGCGAGAGCATGGAAGCGCGGTCGTGACACTTTCGAGCATATGCGACTGATTTTAATTGTTTCTGAGTGGGACTTGACATTTCCATGACCGTAGGTATTCTATGGGGGTCGATGGGAGTTTTGTTTAATCCTGAACTAGGTTGTTCAGGATATTATGAAATTTGGGATATGGCAATATAACGCGAGGACATGCAACGCGTTTAGACTTGACGTGTAGCGATATAACATATTCAAATTTCAAGCGTGAAGATTCAACGTATTAAAATTCAGCATATGGCGATATAACGCGAGGAAATGAGATTTAAAACGTGGAGATACAACGCATAGAAATTCGGGATATGGCAATATAACGCGAGGACATGCAACGCGTTTAGACTTGACGCGTGGCGATATAATACGCTGAGATTTAAAACGTGGAGATACAACGCATAGAAATTCGGGATATGGCAATATAACGCGAGGAAATGCAGCGCGTTTAAATTCAACGTGTAGCGATATAACATATTCAAATTTCAAGCGTGAAGATTCAACGTATTAAAATTCAGCATATGGCGATATAACGCGAGGAAATGCAACGCGTTCAAATTCAACGTGTAGCGATATAACATATTCATATTTCAAGCATGAAGGTTCAACGTATTAGAATTCAGCATATGGCGATATAACGCGAGGAAATGCAACGCGTTTAAATTCATCGTGCAGCGATATAACATGTTGAAATTTCAAGCGTGAAGATTCAACTTATTAAAATTCAGCATATGGCGATATAACGCGAGGAAATGTAACGCGTTTAAATTCGACGTGTGGCGATATACATGTTAAAATTTCAAGCGTTAAGATTCAGCGTATTAAAATTCAATATATGGCGATATAACGCAAGAGAGTACAATGCGTTGAAATTACAAAATAAACGAATACTATGAATTCTTTTAATTAATACAGATTTAACTCTAAATATCGTGGTTTTTAAATTAAAGTTATAGTAAATCTTTTTACAGCTGTTCAACTAATTTCCGATGGGAGTTAAATAAAAATCTGATCCTTAATGGTTAACCGCATCGCTGACCGCAAGGTGTAATTTGCACGCGTGAAAGCCGCTAAGCGTTCGAATAATGCAATATCGGGTCTCTCGTATTCGAATACCAATCTCGATAACGTCCGCTTCGGCTAAATTAATTGATACGTATTTCTGTAGCATAATACCTTGATCTATATCCTTCGAAAAACAGACCCGTACAAAATACACGGAGGTACACTTGCAAAAAGTAAATGAAGACAACCCGTGTGAAAATTAATGCGCGATCACATATTATGACGTGTTCCCGTGTAAACTTTTGAGCCAATTGTCAGTGGTTTGATCTCATTACATTTGTCGCCTACAATAAGTAACAGTAACTGTAACAATTTTGTAGTTGGCCGTATGCCATTTGCTCGTACACGAATTCGCAACGCATTTCTCATTTTCTTGTTTGTTTCTGGCAAGGTGCTTGATAGAGGCAGAATTATGGCGGTTTGGAATCTTAAGTTCCAGAAAATGTGACTCAAACCACGATTAGCTTTATTACTCCTCGCGGTATAAATTTCACTGCCAGACGGTTTAGAAGCTTCTATTATTGCGTGGATGCAATTTCGAAGTTGTCAGGTAGGAAAAGTGAATCGAACGTTTTCCTCGGATCGTGCTGGGAAATCAGGTTTCGCTCACTTTCGAAACTCGTTCGCTTATGTATTTCTTAATTTAATCTATTTTCTATTCTTAGATTTGCCACTGCTGAAATAACTTTTCATATGCGCTAGATTCTCATACCTTAATTATTAAATTTCTACGTTTCTTGAAAATTTTCTAATTCAAAAATTCCTGTACTTGCAACTAACAAGTACTTGGAAATTTAAGCGTGTTAAAAGTGACGGAGTATTTCCCCCTAAATTTTCCCTACAGAAATCTGCCGTACTCCAGACCACATATGTGTATACATATGTATAATCGTAGAGGTGCTTCATTCGCGAAGGGTTAATCGACATCCGTCCCATCTTGGCTGTACCTAAAGTATGTCAAACGCAGCACGTGCCGTATCGGAAGCAGTAATGTCGGGATTCGAGCCGTGAATTTGTTCCTTTCCAGAGAACCCTAGTAGTTCCACATTTTCCCCTTTGCTGAGCCCACTTTTTATTGCTTGTCACGCGGACACACCAGTCGATGGGACGTCACCGTGTACGGGCAGTTTATTATCGACGGGGAAAACGTTGTTTGCGATGTCAGTGGGCGAACGGTGCTTCAACAATTCGAACTAGGCCAGCTTAAAGAAGCTGCAACAAGATAAGCTTAAGGGAAATCCTCTCGATTGCACGTACGAACCGATTATTAATTCTTCCTGTATTCATTTTATTATTACTTATCCTTGATCTGTCTTGTTTGTTGCAGAATTGCCAGCCGAGGAGGGTAAGTCTTTCTACTTGAAAAGGTTTCTTTCCGTTCCATCACGAGCGACACGGTAAGCTCTTCCCGTGAAAAAACTGACATCGATTTTTTATATACAAGGTGTACTGAGATTTTATCTCATGCCTCTCATAAATTATTAAATACATTCGAACATTTGGGTGTTAATCCACTTAGGCGACAGTTTCATCCTTTGTCGTATTTAAATTTTCAAGGATAACATGAATTTTTAATGTGAACTTGAGGATAGTGTTACCTTGTATACCTATGATTGCTCATATTTCTTGAATAAAGAAATCAATGTTAACGCGACTGCACATTGAAAACATCAGACCACGGTGGCATAGATACATCAACTATGGATGAACGTCTAATGCTAGATCTCTAGCAGTCATAGGTTCTCCCAGAGGTTTCGGATCATGCAAAACCGAGGCTTCTTTTACCATGTATTGTTTACAGCTTCACGTGTAATCTGTTGTACCCTTTGCTCCCTTAAAAATAGATGCACTTGTACGTAGTCCTGGTTTTTAGGACGCCTGATTCGTGTTTAAACGTGGTGGATGTTTATAAGGAAAAATGTTAATCCGTTTAGCTGCTTACTGGCGGATTAGGAAGCTGTGCTTAAGGCACCACTCTGGAAATGTTACTGTTGTATGCACTGACAGTATAGAAAATGCATCTTCTTTATGCAAATTTATATATCTCTAGCTTTTTAAATTTGTTAATAAAAATTTTTTTATTTATTTTTTGTATTCCTTAATTTTCATTTTACAAGATTTATAAATTTTTAAACTTCTAAACAATTCAAGATATTTTCAAATTTCTAAATTATCAGATTAGCAAATTACCTAGTGAAGTTTCTAAACTTGAAAGCATTTCTATACTTTCCAATTAGCGACTGACCGAATTACGGTAATTACTATAAATTGGTGACCCAATTTCCTCGTCATCACTATCCCTGCTATCTCTCGTTAGGCATACTCGATCGATTTGAAGAAAATCGGAGGATCTTCGCTATCGATGCGTCCAATTCGACTTCAAAGGCCATCGATCGGTGAAATGGGTAGCGCGAAAGCGTGTGTGAAAATTCGATTTCTGAACACACGCGTACGTCGAGCACTTAGTTGAGAACGTGTAACGTAATGTTGCCGGAGATAGGAGTAGTCACTTGCAGATGCTGCCGGATGATAGAAGGCGTCGCTATCAAAGCGGACCAGCCTCCTCAGTTGCTGTAACACTCGATGCACATTACCGTTTCACGTGCACACGCTTGTACAGTGTATATGGCTGTGTATTTACAGAACAGATAGAGCCGTTAGGAAACGTGTCAACCAGATCTGCTGTCGCGGTCTGATCGCACCGTTCACTGTGTCACTCGGTTCACCAGTAATTGCATCGACATTATGCTATAAGGGCCACTTTTGCTTTGACCTTCGGTGCAAGATTCACCCGTTTTTCGCGGTGCTCCACCATTCACTGTCCAAGTCAGGGACACCACGTTTAACTCTTTGACTGCCACACCACCTATGTGTGGATAATTTTCAAGATTTCGTAGAAATCTGTCCACTTGAATTTGTCCACTTACCTACTTGGAAATACCAGTTACTTGGAATTATGTATTACTAAATATTGGGAAAATACGAGGTAAGATTATATTACCTAATCAGATTTCAACCGCTTCGGTGTAACAGTGAACGTGTTAATTTGTGGTTTGGTTAGGATATGTTGTACGTGAGGAGTTAATGAATATGATTGAACCTGCGTCGACGTGATCTCTGAAGGAATCTTCAAGGTGACAATACAGTGCTACAATTTTTAGCTTCTTTTTTCGCGTTGAAAAGGTAGTTGTGAACAGTTGTTACTCTAGGCTTAGGTTTAATCTGGTTTTTTCCTCCAACTTCCAAGGTTCCCAGATTATTAAATTTAAACTAAATCCAAATATACAAATTAGCTGTCTATTCATGATGTGGCCAGTTATGAAATCGTCATTCGAAGAAAGAATTATCTTTTTTCTGAAGAAGGGTCCGTTCAGGGAAATAGGAATCGCAGTGCTCAGTGTAATTACACTTGCAATTGGAGAGAGTGGCACGCGATTCGTAATCACGCAAATGGTACTTCTGTTGAATATTCAATCACGGAGCCAAATGGAAATCGTAAGCTTTTTTCCCCAGTAACGAAGAACAGTTAGCCACAGCTGATGAAATTTTTTCAACTAATTACGTTCTATAATTGATCTGCGTTCATTTTAATGCAGCATATTTTGAATAACCTCGTTGAAGTCTGAGAGCAACATCGAGGTGCTCGATGAAGTTGGGTCTGAAATTGTAACTTGTTAATTGCTTCTGGTAACGAGCTTCGCTGAAACCTTAAGGACGTATCAACGACTTTGATGAAATTCTGATTAGAAATTTTGATACCTCGCTTAAATTACAAGTCGTGGTATTTGCAGAATTGTCATACAAGTTCTTTGCTGCTCTTGCGAACGCTTCTGCAGGGTTTCGAATTTAGAACTATTCATTCGTTTAAGTATCACTTAACCGACTGGAAGTACTTTGCAAAAACTTGACGGGATATTGGACTACATACATTTTCAAATACTTAGCAAGTAGACTTCAGAGCAGACTACCAGTCTGAATTAACTCAGTTTAGTATTCATCCCTCTTTGATCCAACGTTTTCTGTATAATATTAATAAATGCAAATTGCATCTTTCAACGTATTTACAATATCATTCTCTATTATAATCATAATACTTTGTACTGAAAGTTTTGTAATGAACTTCCAGACATAGGTGCATTATCTCCCATTATTCCCATCGTTATATTTAACCGCAGAATATTGAAATTCCTCCCCGAGCACCTTTCAACCTGAAGTCCTAAAACGGTAGCAGGCACATTGATTTTCATCTCACGCAATCTACTTCCGTCACTGCCACTTTTGAGTCGCGAGATGCACCGTTGACGTAGACACGGCCAATCAAGGTCGCATTAATGAGATTTCTTTCATAATTTAATGTCCGAGTGGAACTGGTGAAACCGGTAGGTCCTCGAAGTTACTCGTTCCACGACTAACAATGTCCATATTGCGTATGCAAACGGGAGGATAAAATTGATGTTTGCGTAACAGTCGTTGAAAAGGACGATGATGACATATTGACATCGCGCGATTACGTTCCGTTGCAATTAGCTAAATTAGATCGAGTATCTTCTCATCTTATTCATTCTTTGACACTGATTCGATTTTTTTTTGACTCGGTTTTGATTCGAGTCAGACCCATTCTTGGAAATCTGGAATATCTGGATTTTCAGTTTTCTAAATTCTTAGCTTCTCAAAAGTAAATCTTGAAATTCTCAAATAGATAGATTTTTAATTTACTAAATTTCCATTTTTTCCAATTCTCAATTTCCCCAATTCCAATTTCTCTAATTTCTACTTCCCCCAATTCCAATTTCTCCAATTTCCACTTTTCCCAATTCCAATTTTTCCAATTTCCACTTTTTCCCAATTCCAATTTCTCCAATTTCCACTTTTCCCAATTCCACTTTCCCCAATTTCCACTTTTCCCAATTCTCAATTTCCCCAATTCCAATTTCTCCAATTTCCACTTTTCCTAATTTTTAATTTCTCCAATTCCAATTTCTCTAATTTCTACTTTTCCCCAATTCCAATTTCTCCAATTTCCACTTTTCCCAATTCTCAATTTCCCCAATTCCAATTTCTCCAATTTCCACTTTCCCCAATTCCAGTTCCCCCAATTCCCAATTCCCCCAATATCCACTTTCCCCAATTTCCAATTTCTCTAATTCCTAATTCTCCCAATTTCCACTTTCCCTAATTCCCAATTTCAACAATCCCAAATTCTCAAAATCCCCAAATACCTACATTCCCAATTTCCCAAATTTCCACCTCCTTAAAATCTTCACACTCATCACATTTTCCAAGCACCCCAATTTCAACAATTCCAAATTCTCAAAATTCCCAAATACCTAAATATCCAAGTTCCCCAATTTCAACAATCCCAAATTGCCAAATTTCAAGAACTAAAAAAATTCCTCAAGTAAATTAAAAATATATCGCTTGCACATTTATAAAAAAAAAGTCGTTAAATTATTTTAAGTGCAACTGCTCTTCGCGCATCACGGTAGAACGACGTTTAACCGGAAATTTATAGTGCACGGAACGAGGGCTAAAATCCTGCGGACAGAGAAGGTGGTGAAAAGCGATCACGAGGATGACCGAGGTAGAAACGTGTTCCTGTAATTGGCTAGCAATCGGATTTTCACTGGTCTCTGGTCGTCGCCGTAGATTACAATTAATGAAATCGTCAACCGTAGAGCACGTTGGAGCGATGTGACGTCAATCGCATACTGGCAAAAGGCACTTGCCATCAAGGACGTCAATGTCTGCCCCGGATTACTATCAACTTTACTGTTCTTCGTTTTTTTTATCTTATGCGTATGATAATCGATCAAGGAAGTTCCAAGTCGTACATACCTGAATTGCAAAGTTAACAGGTTGTAACTTTTTTTTAATCTTCGAGGCTGTTACCTTTGCTCTAATCAAGGTTCGATGTTACTGGCTCGATTGTATGACTGATTTTTTAATCACATTTTTAGAGGTCTTAGTTTTGGTATTATTTTAATTTATTTGTTTTATTATTTTTGATTTTATTGGTTTTGGTTATTAGTAGGGGATTGATGTTGGTTTTGTTAAATTTTTTATTATTTGAAATTTATTAGTAAAATGATTAGATTTTATATTTTTTCGGGTGTATTTTATTTTGTCGTTTTAGTTTAATAAAATAGGAATTGGGGTGATAATATTTTGTCCTTAAAAATTATTTAGAAAAATGATTTAATTTTATATTCTTTTTTTGGTGATTTTTGTCGTATCGTTTCGAATTAATAAAATAGTAATCGGAGTTGAGAATATTTCTTTTAATTTTTGTCGTTGGAAATTTGTTACTAAAATGATTAGATTTTATATTTTTCTTAGGGGACATTTTCGTTTTTAATTTAATAAAGTAATTATTGGGTTTGGAAATATTTCGTTGAATCTTCGTTCGCTTGTTTTAGAAAATGGTTACACATTTCTTAGCTTCGATGTTATTCCACATCAATTTTTGTCACGTTTCCAATCTGAAATTGAAAGAGAAAGTATCGTGTGCTGACGAGAACATTAAGTCCTGCGTGATTCGAATTGTAACAATACAGTTTTCTTCAAAAGATCTTCAAAAGATTTAAGAAGTTTTTGTATTCTTCTATCTTTGTTTATGCAATAAACTTTTTGAATAAAAAAACTTATATTCATGATATCAATAATTTTGTTGATAAATGCACCTCTATTATATAAGTTTGCAAAAAATAATATTTCTGTATAAATACTTTAACTTATCTTCTTTCATTTATTTTCATAATTTTGCAGTTTACAGCTTGCGTTATTGATTCAAAGCTTTTGACAGAGAAACCAGAATTCATTTCAATTTTCATTAATTATGTTCCTTTGTTCGTATCAGCCGTCATTCCTATTTATACGAATGTAGACAAAGAATTGATACGTGCATACCGATACAATTTTAATACAAAGAAGTTATAATTCTTTTTTCCTGTAAACATTACGTTTTTCAAGTAAATCTTAAAATTAAATCTTTCTGAGAACAGCTATTTTGTTTTGTAAAAATCGATAAAACTAATGTGATTCCCAATCATAAATTCCACTTCAAATATATCACAGATTGTTATTCTTTCGTGTTTATCGTATAATATTACTGTTAAAACAATTTCAAAATTTAAAGCAAAAATTTTAATAACAATGTTCATTTTTTTAATAAGATTTCTTTTTGAGATTTATTCGAAGCTCTTGTCAGAACTGATAATCCAGGAATCTGTGATTCTTGTTTGTTAAGAAGATCGTTGATAAAAAAATTGTGAGTAAAAAAATACCCGTTCCATTATTTGTTGTTTTTGCATATATTATGATCGATGCCACACTTTCACGGGAATATTGTGTCGAAATAAAAGGCAGAATTTTAATACAAACATTCTTGTTATTCAAACTGTTAAATGAGATGATAATATATTTACTCAAAGATTTATTACCGTTTAATTATATAATTCCACTTCAATTAGTAGGAAACTCATTGTATTATCTTACGTTACGTATAAGATGTATTCACTATTTATCGTGGCTATCGAGATAGAAGATTTTTCCTGATTGGAAAATTACTCAATTAACGACGTAAAACGAGTGTGTACAATCTAACTTATCTTGTTTTTTGATTTCAGGAAAATCTATATGGCAACTCGTGTTGGAGCAATTCGATGACCTTTTAGTTAAGATTCTTCTGTTAGCTGCTATTATTTCTTTTGTACGTATTTATTATTATTATACATATTTATATTTATTAGATACTTTGAAACTTCAAAAATTCATAAAGCATTTGCAACTCTTATCAAATACCATTGCAACCAAGCCTAACTTATCCTTAACCAAGAACAGTCTACATTGCTCCCATTAAGCATGAGACTATAATATAGAGGGAGTTTCACAACTAGTGTCCTTGCACTAGGGGGTAGCTGACGTTTGGTTATTTGGGAGTTGAAGGATTTGGGGTTGTGAATTTGAGAATTGGGGAAATTGGGAATTGGGGGAATTAGGAATTGGGGAAACTGGAAATTGGGGGAATTAGGAATTGGGGAAATTGGGAATTGGGAGAATTAGGAATTGGGAAAAGTGGAAATTGGGGAAAGTGGGAATTGGGGAAATTAGGAATTGGAAAAAGTGGAAATTGGGGAAACTGGGAATTGGGGGAATTAGGAATTGGGAAAAGTGGAAATTGGGGGAATTAGAATTGAGAGAATTAGGAATTGGGGAAAGCGGAAATTGGGGAAATTGGGAATTGGGGGAATTAGAATTGGGAAAAGTGGAAATTGGGGAAATTGAGAATTAGGGAAATTGGGAATTGGGGAAATTGGGAATTGGGGAAATTGGGAATTGGGGAAATTGGGAATTAGGGAAAGTGGAAATTGAGGAAATTGGGAAAAGTGGAAATTGGGGAAATTAGAATTGTCGAAAGTGGCAATTTGGTTCTTCGCAAGAGCGACAGCTTCAAACTCCATTTTTGCAAAGGAAAATCTTATTCAGAATCACGTCTACCCCATTTCAGGGACACTACTTATAAGACTCCCTGTATTACACTTACGTAGTATGCTATAGTAATATACATAAAATCAATTTACCCTGATGGTAGGAACGTATTCGGGGAAACGTTGAACCGTTCACACGCGTTCATTGGCAACGAATGATCCAGATGTAACGCGATGAACCGTTGCTTTTATTTTTAGATGTGACGTTCAAACACGGTAATTAATAAAATCGAGGCAGTGCATTATTCTTTCGCGAACCGTTAAGTAATTATTAGTTGCTCGAAGTCGTGCTACGTTTTACGTGGAGGAGGGTTAGGGGGGAGTGGTGGTTCAAGGCTCATTCATTATAAATACATCTGGTTGCAAAGGTGAGAAAATAGCGTATCGATTATCTTGTTCTGTGACACGAGAGTCTCGTTACCTTTACGCACGTGTAGTAATTTCATGACGGGTTCACGGTGAAAATTATGCGCTGTACGATCGTAGATAACAATATAATTTCCAGTGAAATTGACGTAATTCGGTTCGCTGGAAAATATGTATATTTAGTATTCAAATTGTGTCATTTCCTTAAAGATTCTGGAATGTTGTGAAACATATTTTTTAATCGAGTAAGAATGTATCGCGAGATTTTCCTCCTTTGGTTATTTCATTAAATTATTGAAGTATATGGAAGCAGATATTTAATACTCGACATACTTGTTGTGTAATGTATTAATCGGAGTAAGAGTAAAGTGGAATAAAATATTCGACAATCGATTTATTGTATAACGTATTAATTAAAAACAATATGCGAAATATTAAAACTTTAATACTAGAGATGCCAATATGTTCAGATAAGAGATTGCAAAATATATTAAAATTAATACCACTTTATCACGATTTTACGAAGTAAATATCGCTTGAATAAACAAACGAGATAAATGTCGTCAACCTGTTTTTGAATCAATGTTTTCGTTTTTTAATAATCCTGCCATTGATTGCACCTCTTATTCCTTCTACCTGTATACACATTCTGATACTCACAATTTTTAATCCTACTTAGACCATCCTACCTCTATCATTTTATAAGCATATTTTTAACAAATAACATTTGCTCGTAGCAAATTAATCAGAGTTCGTCTTTCCTATTCCACAGGTATTAGCTTTATTTGAAGAGCACGAGGATGCATTCACGGCGTTCGTCGAGCCCTTTGTTATTTTGCTCATTCTTATCGCCAACGCCGTGGTCGGTGTCTGGCAGGAACGTAATGCCGAGTCCGCGATAGAAGCGTTGAAAGAGTACGAGCCCGAAATGGGTAAAGTTTTACGAACAGACAAGGCCGGTGTCCAACGAATTCGAGCCAAGGAGATCGTGCCCGGGGACATCGTTGAGGTGTCCGTCGGTGACAAGATCCCGGCTGATATTCGTCTCACCAAGATCTACTCGACCACCCTCAGGATCGATCAGTCTATCCTGACCGGTGAATCAGTCTCGGTAATCAAGCATACCGATCCTGTTCCTGATCCACGTGCCGTTAACCAGGTTGGTATCCTTCAAAATATTATAAATTCTTATAACTAGTTCCTGAACCTCCAAAGACCTAAGTTTTCAAAGTAACCATAATTTGAAAACCACTGAGTTAGTAAATACTAGTCCACAATACATTCCTAATAAAATAAGAATGTTATTAATACAAGTTTTCATGTTTCTACAGGACAAGAAAAACATTCTGTTTTCTGGTACGAACGTAGCCGCGGGCAAGGCCCGAGGTGTGGTAATTGGAACTGGCTTGAACACTGCTATCGGTAAAATCCGTACCGAGATGTCCGAGACCGAGGAGATCAAGACGCCTTTGCAACAGAAGTTGGATGAATTCGGCGAGCAATTGTCGAAGGTCATTTCCGTCATTTGCGTGGCTGTATGGGCTATCAACATTGGACACTTCAACGACCCTGCCCATGGTGGATCTTGGATCAAGGGAGCTATCTACTACTTCAAGATTGCCGTCGCTCTTGCCGTAGCCGCTATTCCCGAAGGTTTACCAGCTGTGATCACTACTTGCTTGGCTTTGGGAACGCGTCGTATGGCTAAGAAAAACGCTATCGTTAGATCGTTACCTTCTGTCGAGACCCTAGGTTGTACTTCTGTCATCTGTTCGGACAAGACTGGTACTTTGACCACCAACCAGATGTCCGTTAGTCGGTTAGTTGTATTAAGATATATTTACTGTTAGAAGTCATTTGTTATATTGGTCATTACATAAAAAGAGCACTCAAGTTTCAAATTTGACGTCTTTGTGACGTAATGTTCAAATGAATAAAATTGTATTACCGTATTGCAGAATGTTCATCTTCGACAAAGTCGAAGGCAACGACAGCAGCTTCCACGAGTTCGAGATCACCGGATCAACCTATGAGCCCATCGGTGACTTGTTCTTGAGGGGACAGAAGATCAGAGGCCAGGACTACGAGACTCTTCACGAAATCAGTACAATCTGTATCATGTGCAACGATTCTGCCATTGACTTCAACGAATTCAAACAAGCATTTGAGAAGGTCGGCGAGGCAACGGAGACAGCTCTTATCGTTCTTGCGGAGAAAATCAATCCCTATGGTGTGTCCAAGAGCGGACTGGACAGGCGTAACGCTGCCATCGCTGTCAGACAGGACATGGAGACAAAATGGAAGAAAGAATTCACTCTGGAGTTCTCCCGTGATCGTAAATCCATGTCTTCTTACTGTACTCCTTTGAGACCATCGAAATTGGGCAATGGACCGAAGCTGTTCGTCAAAGGTGCCCCAGAAGGTGTCCTGGACAGGTGCACGCATGCCCGTGTCGGTTCTACCAAGGTTCCTCTTACTTCGACCCTGAAGAATCGTATCTTGGATCTGACTCGCCAGTACGGTACTGGTAGGGACACTCTTCGTTGCCTCGCTCTTGCCACCGCTGATCATCCGATGAAGCCCGACGACATGGACCTTGGTGACTCCACCAAATTCTACACATATGAGAAGGATCTCACATTTATTGGTGTCGTTGGTATGCTTGACCCGCCTCGTAAGGAGGTATTTGACTCGATTGCAAGGTGTCGTGCTGCTGGTATTCGAGTAATTGTCATTACTGGAGATAACAAGGCCACCGCTGAAGCTATCTGCAGACGTATCGGCGTATTCGGTGAGGATGAAGACACCACTGGAAAGTCATACTCTGGTCGTGAATTCGACGACCTTGCTCCGATGGAACAGAAGGCAGCTTGCGCTAGGGCACGTCTGTTCTCTCGTGTAGAACCTGCTCACAAATCAAAGATCGTTGAGTACTTGCAGAGCATGAACGAAATCTCCGCCATGGTAAGTTAAGAATCACAACATTTTGTTCTTGGTGATATTGTATAAATATGAGAAGTTGGTTAGTGCAAGGAATGTATAGATTTGACTGATTATAATTCAACATTTCTGTAGCCTTGTTGGTTGTTTTATTATTTCTTTTGTATTATAGACTGGTGACGGTGTGAATGATGCACCTGCCTTGAAAAAAGCTGAAATCGGTATTGCTATGGGATCTGGAACTGCCGTAGCAAAATCCGCTTCTGAGATGGTACTGGCAGACGACAACTTCTCTTCCATCGTCGCTGCCGTTGAAGAAGGCCGTGCCATTTACAACAACATGAAACAGTTCATCCGTTACCTGATTTCTTCCAACATTGGTGAAGTCGTAAGGTTAGTATCCAGATATTAATGTTGTACCGACTGAACGATATAAAAAAATTATTCCTATCATTACAGTATATTCTTGACTGCCGCCCTTGGTCTTCCTGAAGCTCTGATCCCTGTACAACTTCTGTGGGTCAACTTGGTTACTGATGGTCTTCCCGCTACTGCTCTTGGTTTCAATCCTCCCGATTTGGACATCATGAGCAAGGTAATGTTGCTATTAGTTCATCATGTATGGAATAAAATGTTCTTAATATTTACGTGTTACTTACACTTACAGTTATTGAAATTATGAACGGAATTATAAATGTATTTACGATGTTATAGCCTCCCCGTAAAGCCGATGAATCTCTTATTTCCGGTTGGTTGTTCTTCCGCTATTTGGCTATTGGCGGATATGTAGGTGCTGCTACCGTTGGATCAGCTGCATGGTGGTTCTTGTACAGTCCGAATGGCCCACAAATGAACTACTACCAATTGGTGATTATCGTATAAGAAAATTTGAAATTTATGATTGATAAAATATATGTGAAAATAAACTTTGGAACTCGCAGACTCATCACTTGGCGTGCATGGGCGGTGGTGAAGAATTCAAGGGCATTAACTGCAAGATCTTCACGGACCCTCATCCCATGACAATGGCTCTGTCTGTACTTGTAACTATTGAAATGTTGAATGCCATGAACAGGTAACACGATACAAACGAACCATGCCTCTATACATATTTTTGCTAATGTTAATTTATTTTCTGACGTTTTGTTTCCTTTCAGTTTATCTGAAAATCAGTCTCTCATCACTATGCCGCCGTGGTCTAACATGTGGCTCATTGCCTCTATGGCTCTTTCTTTCACACTCCACTTTGTCATCCTTTACATCGACGTTCTTTCGGTATATTATTTAAAAACAATCGAACTTAATCCCAATAAATGTTATGTATTGGGTTGGCCAATAAGAAATGTTTTAATATTAGAAAACAGACATAAGAATAATCTTTTAATTGTTAATAGGGTAATTAACAATTTCGAAACTTTGATGGATTACTTTCAATTGGATTAGTGATTTGAAAATTTGGAAGTTTGGTCAACCTAATATGTATTGTTTTTACGTTGTTATAATTGTTAATTGCTGTCTGTTTCAGTCCGTATTCCAAGTTACCCCTCTAACGGCCGAGGAGTGGGTTACCGTTATGAAGTTCTCCATTCCAGTGGTACTTCTCGACGAAACCCTGAAGTTCATTGCCAGAAAGTTCACAGATGGTGAGAATCCAATTTACACAGTGCATTGGATCGTTCTAATGTGGGCTGTGTTCTTTGGACTATTAAGTATTTGTCCCATATAGAACATCCGTGAAAGAAAAAAAGAAAAAAATGTTTAGTCTAACAGACAATGTTTTTCCTATGGAAAACATTTGCAACTGAGTTCTTGGACTTGCAATTGCATTTAAAACCGAAGTTCTTCCCCGTTGCCTGGGAAGCTCGAGATAAGTTATTAATTGAAGTGCGTTTAAGTGAGATTTTAACCAGTTTGACTGTTGTGCATGGTGTTAGTACAACCATACAGATTTGCCACCAAGGCCCACCATGTCCGCATCACACCGTTACCCTGACGTCGTTCTACAATCATATACGGGTTTTAGTGGCTTCGAGTGATAAAAGGAAAAAAGAGACCCATCGCAATCAAAACAATTGTGATTGTTAAATTATTTTCTACGAGTGCCTTTTGAACATTAACTTTCCTCCGCAACAAGATACCCATTGATGTTTTTTCTAATTCGATTTGTTATTACACTCCTATCCTACCCTGTAAAACGTTGTACTTGCATGCCCTTTGAGCACGGTGCACCTTTGAATACTAATTATTTTTTCTTTTTTTCTCGTAGTTTCTTGTAAATCTGACAATATTAAACTGCGCTCAGTATTGCCGCTAGAGTATGTAACCGGTTTAGAAATCAATACTAGTCTCATCGCTTGGATGCTGTGTTATCTTGACTGTAGTAATTGGAAATACATATAGAAAGGTTCTATGTAGTGCTTAAAATTTATGAAGTCCATCATTCCTGAATTTCTCAACTTAAAAGTACATAGTTATGAAAACTAAAATATACAAAGTCTGAATATGGCGCCGTGCTTACCCGACGCTATCGGCATTACTGCACTTGGTTTATCCATGGAAAATCCAATAATATTTTTGCAACAATTTTATTTTTATTTTTTTTTACTAGTCAAGTACATTTACAGCAATGTATAGTATATAAAAAATGTCGGCAAAACAGTCAGAACATCGACAGATTGGAAACGCAGGGAACACTTTGCACGACATTTTAGTAATAGCTGTATTTTTTGGGCACTTCACTTTAACGCACACGCATAATTAGCCTACCATGATTTTTAATTGTTGCTCTTTTCTAATTTATTCTTACTTCCACTATAACCGCTTTCGTTGTTGCTTATTAAATAGAACCAATTATTGTTGATTAATTCTCAGCATCAAGGAAATCCGCTTCGGTGAAGACGTCAATGCGCTGGAACTGCCTGATCCGTTGCTGAAATGTCAACTCAAAGATTGTGCATGAAGTTCGAATTTAATGGATCTCATTTCTGAACCCGTACATTCTATGTCTTCCTTCCCGTAGAGAAGTAATTGCATGCACAACTAAAGAAATCCTTGGACTATATGTATATCCTACTAAAACACTCACCTCGTAGAACAGTCACTATCGGTGGTTTGTTAATCCTGCCGTGCCCCGGGATATCATGATCGATGATACTCAATTTTTCTTCAAAATATTATGTATCAATCATTAACTAAGTACAATTATATACATAGCTGGATTCGATAGGATTTCAATGACGTACAAAGAAACGGAAACGGTGATATCTTTTAACCGGGTTTCGTCAAAAACGGGCACTGCAGGATTATTCTAACATCACTGCACTTTCATTGCATCCACTCTTCTACCTTTATGTGTACCTTACTGGGTGTGATTTACATGTTTGAACGATTAATGCCATGCAACAGATTTGTATATCACTAATTTAACAGATGCGGACTGCAAGGACTCGCGCGTGTAACATAGCAGGAAACTCGATTGTCTTTCGCAGTCCGTGTCTCTCGTTGTATTAATCCTCTCTTTTTCCTCAAAACGGTGGTCTGAACTTGAGAACGCTCGATTTACATGTACATTTTTGTTCCTATTCAAACCACGGATATTTCCATTTTAAATGATTCGAGTCTCTTGACTCTTTGGCTGTAGAATTAAGATGGTTGTATCATAAATATACTTTTTTAAATTACGTGTATATAATAATAGCTAAATACTGGTAAAGTTGTAGGATACACAGGAGTCTCTCTATGAGATCACATCCCCTAGTTAGACAGGTATACGAAGTTAAAATTTTTATACTTAGAATATGAGTCTCATTGGTTCTATTGTTGTGAAATTTACTCTTTAACACAATCATGCATCGAATATACTGTAAAGTGGATCGATCAGACCCATCTCGTCTCCTCACTTAAATTAAAATATCGTAATTCATTTTACCAATATTCTAACTTTTGCGGTACAACCACCTTAAACTACCAAGAATGAAAACAATGAATATTATACAAATAGCAGAAACCCTGTACATGTGAATACTTGGAAATAGTAAATGGTTAAAAATCGAGTTTAATCGATTTCTTATAGCGAATAGTTATTTATGATGGGAATCATTTTACTCGTACCTCTCGTAGCACGTTACTACGTAAATAGCGAACACATCGAGCGAATCTCGGGTTCAGACACCCGGTCAATAACAATCTCTATACACGCGCCACATGCGAAACGGAAGATCCGGTGTCGTCACGAATTACGTGGGCCTTTTTAACGCATCTAACTGTCTCTTTAGTCACATTTCTCATCCGGGGTTTTATAAATCATAATATTAGAGAATAGGGGTGTGCGGGTAGCCAGATACGTCAGGTATGTATCCGAGTTTCGGGCTAAAGTCGAAAGCAGTTGGGATCAAGAACGCCTGACTTTTATCATTTCCCAAGTCCATAATCTCAGGTTCATTGTAGACTTTCTGTAGGGTACAATGTAGACTTTGGTTAGAAAAAGTGTAGAAGGAAAAACATCTACCACTTTCAAATTTGACAAATCTCAAATATGCATTTCTATATTTTCAAGTTCCTTACTCTTTGCATTTGACAATTTAAAGTTTCTATATTTTCTGAATTTGTAAATCTAGAAGTTTGAATATTCACATTCCTACGAACGTTAAAACGAGTGGTGGATTCTTTTTTTCCTACGTTGTAATTTTCCCTAGGAAATCCTACCATGCTTGCCAGTACCCGCACATCCTTATTAAAGAGTATATATATATATACTATTATTCGGCCAAATCGAGCCGTGTTTGTAAATGGCGAACGCGTATCATACCACTTCTGGACCCCGTGCAAACGCAACAAGACTGACGATGCGGTTCCAAGAAGTGGTTCGTGTTTGCGTGCAACAAAGTTTGTCCACCGTTCGTTCGACGCGAAGTGCATAATTAATTTAATTGCGTTGGAAGCGTGGCGACGCGTCAGCAACCAGAGTCCTCGTTCGCGATTAAAAACTAGTGTAATATATACATATACATATATTATTATTAATATTAATTAAACCGGTTAGGGCGTGATACTACTTTGGTATGGGCATAACTGAACTTAATTAGACCGAAATTACGCGGAAATGATTTTTTTGCGAACAGAATAGTGATAGTAACGTGTAACGCCGTGGACACAGCCAGGTTTGTGAGCAAAATTTATTCCAGCGTAAATTTTATAAACTGATTTTAGATTTATGTTTATATACAGAACATTAACCTTCTTTCTGTGTACAGATGCAAACACGTGGGTTATTCTTAATTCAATTTTTTAATCTTTTTATACCTGTCTTAAAAATCAATTTTCATATACGTATGTTTTTTTTTCTTTAAATTATAAATGTATGGAGTGTAATTGCATCGTCAAAATTTTGTACACAGAGAAAAAGTTAGTAGAATTATAATTTTTCTGCAGAGGGGAGCAAAATCCGATTTTTTCCATGTCCACTTTTTTTTATGTCCCTGGCTACGTCCATGTGCAACGTGGTTCGTGCATGGGCGCGCGGCCGGTAGATGACAGTGTTGGGTGCTCGTCACCAAAACCCTGTCGTTTCACCAGCCACGCGCCAATCAACGTCGCTTGAACCTGTCGAGAAAACCCACTAACTTGTGTGTTTTGTTCGAATTTAACATAGAAGCAATTTACCTTTTTTCTTGTACATTCGAGCGATAACGCGGGCTTTCTAAGGGTAAGCAGTAGAGGGAGGCGTCTCTCACCGTTTGCTTTTGATTTCGGGTGAATCCAGGAAACCTAACATAACTGGTCCATGCATGTAAAGAACAAGAACGAACAGATCCCTCCTTTACACTTTCCCTTATGGAGTCTTCTTAGTGTGATGGTCTTCAGAAAATTCATCTCAACTCATGCAGCACGTGATTTTCAAAGCAATGAGTTACATTTTCACTTTGTCAAATTAGCAAATTTCTAAATTTAAAAATTCAAATACGTCTCAATGTAAAGAAGCTTCAATTTAACAATTGACTCATGGCGAGCACTGTACATAAAAAAATACACTCGCAGCTAAGATTTCCTCGAAAACTCGTGACTGTAAAAAATTGTAAGAGAATTTTTTGGAAAATCACACTTAGAGGATCCCCTAATCAAGGTGAGCCTAGGTTGTACACGACTGTACAACGATATCATTCGTGTACCAGCAGATCATCTTCGATGACTATCCTGTGCTATTTCAGAGGAAATTTCTTAACGAACATATGGTCGTGTACTTTTTAGAATCGAATTATAGCACAGAGATATGTCGAAGATCATGATGCCGATACAAGCGGTCTGACAGCACTTCACGACGCTCAATAAACGTAAACCGAGAGTAAAATTCATTCTGTTTTTTGCGTTCGTTCATTCGACGTACCGAACGTTTGTAAGTACTTGGATTGTGTGGATTGTGTTTCTCTGTTTTCTTATTTTACTGTTTGTTTTTTTCCTTTACTTGTCTCTCTTCCTCTCTCCCAGTTTGGAAGGAAATGGAGGAGAGGACGTAGAATGCCATCGAGACAAAAGAAAAGGCTACGGCTGCGTCGCGTTACGCAAGATAAGATTGCATCGCTGGATCCGCGCGTATCTTCGCCTTTCTTCATCCGATTCGGAACCATTTATCCGTAGAAAATACCAGTAGTTAGAGTAGTCGTGAAATTTTCTTGAGAACGATCGTAAAATGGCGCGCGAATCCAGCGAACTTGCCTGACGCTCTGACTAGTTAATCTAGTACGGTAAAAGGTACAATGATCAAACCACGGTCGCATCGTTCGTGCAGGAAGTACCTATTTCTAATGATAATAAGATAATTAATATTAATATTAATAATATTAATGATAATAATAATTAATAACTTATAAATAGAGTGCGATTATATTTGAATGATTTGATGCATACATTCGCCACAGACGCACGTTGTGGCGGATCAACGGTGTGATGATCCTAATTAATTAGACCCGAAAACGATACACAGTGACGGTCTAACGAACAACCGAAAGCGATTCGACGATGATAGTATGGACAGAGAGAACAAGGAATAAGAATCGTTTGTATCGTTTAACGGGATCGCAGAAGTCTCTTTGTTTGTCGCGTTTTATTTAATCTCAAGAATTTCGAATCAACAGAAACATCATCGCAAGAACGAAAAAAAGTGAAAGTATACGTATTATCGCGACGAATTATCGATGATTAGCGACGGTCCGACCTCTAGTGCGTTACTTGTTACATAAATAAATGAGGAAATGAAAAGAGGAATGATGTGTTAACTAAATGCGTGTTCCGTGAACATAGGGATAAAAGGGAACTAGGCATTTCGTTTATCGACAGAAAAGATCGGATTCTGCTTTTAACTTGCTAATTAAATTTGTATCCTTCCTCTCTGAAAATAGGTGAATTCGATCATTAACAATTTTTAATCGAAGGAAGTAGTTAATAACGTTTTGCAAATATGGGAAGCTATTTTGGTTATATTATTTAATTATTTGCATCTCCTTTTGTACCGCAACTACTAAAACATCGTATACAGTGTTGTTCTAATGCATTTATTCTTGCATTTTTTTATTTTTTCTAAATATTGTGTCGTATATGTTGATACAACTTTAATGACTTTGATGTTACATTTATTAAATAAATTATCCGGATTAATATAGTCTCTCATTTTTTAGAGTATTTATATTGTATATTCATTTTTTTATTCGCATACAAAAGTAATTCTCGTTTAAATTTCCCTCTAAGTTGAGGTGTAACCAAAATGACGTCTTTTTGTAACTTTTATCAAAGTTATCTATGATATGCTTAATCTCCTCTTATCCCTATGTTTATGACGTGTTCGCGTATCAATGATCGGCCTACTATAATTAAAAGAAAGAGAGAAATCGTTTGAAACAATACGGTATCTGGAGAGTGGCATATGCCGCGTGTACGAACATCGAACACTTAATACAATCTGAACTGTAATAAGTGTTTGTTCCAGTTTGTCTCCATACACCTGTGTAATTTTCTGTGCCTTTATCTCTCTGTCACCTGCTCACTTTCCTCTACTTGATTTACTCTTGATCGTACCTGTCCTTATCTTCGAACACGTGGCTAACCCTTTGAGTGCAAAATTTTTCAATCAATGCTAATCAGTGATCACTGAATATTCATTTTTGTACTTAGTACATTTTCGCAAGAGTGTAAATTACGATAATCCTAAATTTCAATATTTGGAACTTTGAAAATATCTAAACAAGCCACAATAATAATTTTTTGAGATGTTTGTACATCCACCGTACTGAAAGGGTTAAATTCCAAGGCTTCTGGTTGTAAACAGTAAAGACGATTTATACCCAAAAGTCTCTTAACAATCTTAACTGCTAGAACCTAAATGAATGTCCGAAGGAAATCATTCGCTTCATCAATCATCAACGTCGAAAGATCGATCGTCGGGAGGATGATCGATTTAACGAGTTCATGACAGTCTAACCGTGAAACTGGAATTGGACCAACTGGAAAAAGTGCAAGCGACCACGACAATTCCGCGTTCCATCATCATCACGGTCATTCTGTGTCCCCAGAGTTGTTGTTTGTATTTCTGCATGCATCCTCTGGATCAGTGGCAAAAATAAAAACAAAATTCGAACAAATACAAAATACCTGATACAACGAGTGTCGTTTCGGCCTGGAATGACCATAATGCTCCTTAAATCGAGGAAGTTGTCCCTGACACCGCAACCCGAAACACTTTTTTTGCTAACTCCTGCCTGCTGGTGTGTGATACTATTCAGTCGAGGAGCGAATTACCGGAGTATAGCCGTACACTGGAATACCAGGTAACACGATTTTCTTAATAATCGTTTTCATTGAATATCTATTTTTCGCTTCTTTATTTATATCCCATGAGATGCGACACGATGATGACGAAGTCTCTGTATCGGATTTGTTGTTGAAAAGAAAGCGAACTTATGATTCGCCGGGTGTTTTTTATTCCAGAGTGACCATACGATCCTTTTATATGGATTTGAGTGAAATTTCAGATTCACAGTTTTATGCGCAAACGATTTTTCGTTTAATGCATTGCGTAAGGATTGTAAGGTTCTTCGAATACTTTCATTAGTTATTCCATTAAGTATCATGCAACTTGCTACTGGCAGACATTTTTGACATATCGAAATATTTTATAATTGTTATATACTCTTATGATTTTGCTAATTATATCGCTTATGTTTATGATTTGCTTTAGGTTATCAGAGATTATATTTGCTGTATTAGTTTCATCGAATGATTATAGTATTAGTACTGCTAACATTTTTTCTTTTTGTTATGCTTTAATTTGCCTGGGACAGCGATGAGCATATGTACTGTAGTATATCGATGAACACAATAATTATATTGCTATATACCAAGTTATTGGAACAGGATATTCTTATAAGGCTAAAAATGTACAAATTTCGGTGGATAAATTGTTCATTACTGGTCCTGAAAAAAATATTTTTTTGCTTTCTAGTATGCAATATTATAAACATTCGAAATTATAACAATTAGATCAAAGCTTTCTTAGATGCTAATCAGGAGAGAACTTAAATTGCGTACAGCAAAAATAATAAAGCTTGTTATATTGAAACTAAACACTCCCTACGCAATGCATTGAATCGGCAAAAATCTCTAAGACGCTTTTAAGAACATTCCGATTAGACGGTGTAGTTATTGGATTCTCGATAAAAATTCGCGCGAGGCAATAGGAACGGAAAAGAAAAAGCACCCGATACTACACGATTATCTGTACATCCGTCACCACCGAACTTTAAATTTTCATCGCAACGTCCATCGATACGACGTCCAGTCCTCATGTGAACAGTTCGCCGGCACGTTTCCTCCCGAATGACTTTTGGTAATTAATGGAAATTACTTGGATATGCTTGCAGTGGCAACGCCTGTGATGCTGTCGAAATAAAGATCGAGAACGCGTCGGACGAAATCGACAGCAGTCCGGGACACGAGAAAAACCGTCGGAATGGCGCTTAAACGACACCCATCCGCAACAACTCGCAAGCTGATCGACAGGATCGAGCCGACAGATATCTTACGAACACTATCGACACGTACATATACATACACAGATAGGGGGTGTACAGACATTACTTAAAACTAAAACCAAAAAAAAAAAAATGAAAACAAAAATATACGTATACAAAAGGAGGACAGTTCACCTGGGATGTTCAGGCGAGAGCGTTCTGTCGAGACAACCAAGTAGTTTATTTTCGGGATATAGTTTTCGATTTAGGAGTACAGACTTTTCGAAACTTCGAGAATCTAGAGGGAGTCAAAGCAGCCAACCGTGCGAAATAAAAGGAAAAAAAGAAAAACGTCTAATCGGAGCAGCTTTCTGTTTCCGCCAGAGCATCGTAGAGACGGGTTCAAAACTAATCGCTGTGTCTGTGTTATGTTACAGTAAGCGAAACGGTCGTCGACAAGTGGGCCTAGGCTTGTCACGCGATGTGCCGCCGGCAACAATTCCTCTGCCAAGCACAATACAAACAATGAATGAAAGAGAAAAAAAAAGATACGTCACGAAAATAGCCATAAAACTCAGAAGCTCAGCCAAGCAAAAAGACAGACGGACAGAGGCGGGACTTGACTCGCGCGATTGCTGCGAAATAACGGCCCTGCTGCGATCGTTATCATTTAGCGAACAGAGAAAAGAAACAAAAATAACAAAAAAAGGAATATAAAACTACTCGTTAAATCGACACGTCGACGAGATGCTCACGGGTGACCCTCGTAGGTCCCTCTTTTTCCTGGCTGTCTAACCAACGCTCGCTGCACACCGCTCCACCGATGATGCTTTTCGTTGATCACCCTCTTCGTTTAAAAAATACCCTGTCGCTACTATCTTATTGTCGGTGAAACCGAGAAATTCAAACGAAACAAGTAGCCCGTTCACGAAAACGCCGTTCATCCTCTCTGTGCGAGGACTTTAAGATCGATACGCAACGACGATCGGTACAAACATTTGCTCACCACCTTGCCTGTAATTTGCAGCTACTCTTCTAATACATTCTTCGCTTTTGCCCCTGAATCCCATACGAAACGGGTGATTCTAGTCCAGATCGTTAAACCTTTCTTGGTCGATATTCCGTTTTATTTTTGCATTCTGATTTCTGCTTCGGACGCAGTACATATCGAGCGTGGGCACGAAAGCGCTCGAGGAGCGGCCCCGATGTCGGGATTGGGAGCTCGAGCTTCTGGCAACTCTTCGTGGAGGAGAAACGTTACGGGGCAGTCCCGGCTCTAAGCGGGTTCAGAGACCCTGCGATCCATGAAACATTCGTCGTACATTTTATACAACTCCTAAGTTTCTAACTTTGTGAATGTCCCAAATTGAAAAATTTGTAAATTAGAAATTTTACTTACAGAATTTTCACTTCCCAAATGACCAACTTAGGTCTTTTAATTTGAAACTTTTTAAGCTTTAGTATATGAAAATTAGAAAGTTTGACAATTTAAGAACTTTGGAAATTTGAGAATTTTTCGAATCGGAAATTTATAAATTGGAAAATGTCGAAATCTCCGAATATCATGTGCCTGATAGGGTGACTTCAGAAAATGGGACGTACGATGTTTCTGAGCTCTCTGCCGAACTCCAGGTCAATTGCTGCCCATACCTGCTCTAAACGTACCTTCTTGCTAACGTGTGACGCTTCTCAGTCCCCGTCGACCTCGCGTCTTCCATGAGGAGTTTTCCCCCCAAACTTTACTCAGGGTCCCCCTATCCAGCCTGTCAGGAACGAAACGTGTTCGAAGGATCAGCCGTGCTGTCAGTCGCTCGCGAACGATGAGGCTGTCGTGCAAATCAGCCGTTTTAGCTAACTCGGTCTTCCTCAACCGTCGTCGATGGCGTTTTCGTTGATCCGGATGGAAGTTGTAATATCTCGACCACGGAGATCTGCTCAGCCACGGAGAAAGGATAGAGGCTCGACAACATATCGATGACTGTGACGCAGAACGAAGAAGCTGGCCGGTGAAGCGGAGAGCAGTGTGGACCCCGAAGAAGAGCGTACTCCCTTTGTCGTTGGATCGAGTGGTACACTTTAGGACGATTTAAAAAATATATATATATATAAACTGTATGATTGATCGGTGACGTAACTTTCAACGGAGGCTTCCGGTGTATAAATTAAGATCGCTAAGTGGTCGGGAGAAGAGAGTCGGGTCCATCCTCTGTTGGTGATCGCGGAAGCCTCCTCGAAGCTCACGAAACTTACGCCACCAGAGGAATCGATGATGCTCGCGAGATTTCAAAACCATTGTAAATAAGAATTTTACCGTTACACGCGCGATGTTTAAAGAGATTATTGATTAATGTTAAGAGACATTAAATATATACATATATACATACATATATTTTTTTCCCTACAAAGCGCACAGATACCGAGACGCGTCTCGAATTAAAGGACCTCGAGCGAGAAAGATTCGATACGTGTCTGGAGACTTCGTTAACTCCTCTTATTTTTCCTACCATCATATTTTTCCTTAATTAAACTATAATGAACGGTGCTTGGACGGGTGATGTTTATTCAGGGGCACTGATGAGTATTATAGTAACAAGCTATAAATTCGGTCATATTGAATTACGTCGATTCGAGTATCAAATTTATTTATTTAATATGTAGGGATATTTCTTTAGTACATAAAGAAATATAGTTGGACTTTCGTATGGTACAGTACGTCATATTAAATACTAGTCGAGTCAAGTTGAATTGAATCGTACTGATCACGTTTAGGTCATATTGAGTCGATTGAATCTCTGTTGAAACGAACTATATAGAATAGAATAGACTTGAAATGAGTTGAATTAAATTACAAACTGAGTTACTTCGAGTTAATGCATATTGAGTCGAATAGTCAAGTAGATAAGATAGACCAAATAAATTTTAAAACTTAAAATATTATATAAAATATCTTTGTTTTTTCTACCGTTATTTCCTGCAGGTTCTATCTCCTGTCTGTCATTAAAACCAAGATAAGGTTATAATTTTAAAAATTTGAATGTTTAAGCTATTTTAATAATCGTTCTCGCTCGAATCGTCCGCATCGGAGTACACGTTGACAAACGAATTTCAAGATTTTCTTCTGAAAATGGCGACAAACCATTGTTTTTAATGTTCTACGCGAACAGCTCTGTACGAATAAAGGTTTGAAAGTAAAGCTCACAATCTACATTAACTCGTGATGATATATGTTACATTTTGATAAATTTTCAACGAAGTATACTTGCGTATCGACCTTCAAAATGGCGTCACTAATTTCGACCAACAAATTAATGTTCCGTTTCTCTCGCAATTTATATCTTGACAATTCTAACCTCAAAGTAAACTTTCCTAAAATAAATTCTTAACCTAAAAGTTAGATTATTTTAGAAATAATGTTAGAACTAGATTTAACGACAAATTGTTCGCAACAGATAGAACAGTACACGGATTTTATAAAAAGATTTTTATTTCTGACATCCTAACAAGTATCACATTGTACAAGTTCGTTTCTTGACACGAATCTACATCATTCATTCATCAAACTCTCACTTTCATATTTACATCCTCCGTTTCCAGATAAAAATTACATTCTATATTATACAATGGTCGTTCGCGTAGTTTCTACGACTGCTTCACGAATAAATACAGATTAACATGGTCGACTGTTCTTCAGAAGCGATCCAACGAGTCGTTTATTGTTGGACACCGGTTAAATCGGAACAGAAAGGCGATTGTTAACTCAATGGCGTTTCTTTTGCGATTTCCTGTAGTTTCTGATGGTACTGTTCGCGAATTTCTTTGATCGGTTTCACCAGGTATATCGGTACGTCATCGTCTCGCCTCTGAAAACGATTAAAACAAATTGTTTGAATAAATCTGAAGCCACAGAACAGTGTAACATTCGTATAATAATCGAAGAAAGAGTATCAACTTTTAAACAAAATTCAAGATTTCTGACAGAAAGTAGATCCCTAATCTCGAATATCAAAATACTCAAACGATTAATACTGATACAATAGTAAAATGCAGTTATACCTGGAACAGTACTTCTCCTTCGAAGTCAACGAACTTTTGTTTTCTTGCTCTCAGCAGAAGTCCCACGCATTTGTCACTGATGTGAGTGTAAATGTTAAAGAGATCACCAAACGTGATCGCGATGATCTCTGGTTGGTCCCGACATGGTGTACCCTCTTGATGAATGATCTCGCAAAGTTCAAGCACCTCTCTAAGAATGTGTGCTGTGGCTTTGCGACCGCGAATGGCTGTCAAAGAGCCAGCTACCGGTCTGGAACGAAGAACATAATAAATACAATAACGTCCATAGTAATTATAGCAGAACCAAAAGAAATAAGTGTGACGGTTGAGCTTACTTGCCATATTCGTCTTTCGAAAATGTTCGTTTCTCGAGATTCACACCCGACGTGAACGGATTTTTGCTCTGTTTTTCCTTGTGTTGGTTGGCATATTGGTTGAACATTGCCACTTTGTCGCTGAGTGATTCCTGAAATCAGTCAGTGAAGAGAATTTAGTAATATTCTTGGGAAGTATTCTTAACAGGTCACTAATGATATAGGATTTATCGTACATTAATATTTTTTTGCGACTAGTAGCTAGATTTCGGATAAGGTGATGAGTTCACTTGGAAATTTGAGGATTTGGGGATATGGGGATGTGGAGATTCAGGCATGTGGGAATTTGGGGATGTGGAGATTTGGGGATGTGAGGATGTGGAGATGTCGGGATTTGGGGATGTGAGGATGTGGAGATGTAGAGATTTGGGGATGTGGGAATTTAGGGATATGAGAATTTGGGGATGTAGGGATTTGGAGATGTGGAGATTTGGGGATGTGGGAATTTAGGGATATGAGAATTTGGGGATGTGAGGATGTGGAGATGTGGAGATTTGGGGATGTGGGAATTTAGGGATATGAGAATTTGGGGATGTAGGGATTTGGAGATGTGGAGATTTGGGGATGTGGAGATTTGGGAATGTGGGAATTTGGGAATGTGGGAATTTGGGAATTTGGGAATGTGGGAATTTGGGAATGTGGGAATTTGGGGATGTGGGAATTTGTAAATATGGTGATTTGGGGATGTGAAGATTTGGGAATATTGGGATTCATAGATATGGAGATTTGAGAATGTGAGGATGTGTGCATTTGCGAATATGTAGATGTGGGGATATAAAAATTTGAGGTTTTCGAAATTCAAAAATTTAAAGATTTAAAAATTTAGAAATCTAATAATTTGATAATTCAGAAACTTGTAAATTTGAAAAGTTAAGAATATCGAATGTTAGAAACTCAATCTAAAGAACAACATATGCAGTCGTAAGACTCCATAATACAAAGACAATATAAGAAAATACCTGTCCCAACAGAAATAGCCGTACAAAATAATCTCAAGTATAAAATCAGAGTAGAGAAGTTTACATAAGCAATGTTCGATAGTCAGACGAGAACTGACTTCGTCCGCAGCAACATCAAGGCTTCTAATCTTCAAGTAACATGCCCGGGAAAGTATTCCTCGCACGTAATCGTGAAAGTAGCTTGAAAATCGTCACAGATTAACTCCATGATTATTCACGATACTAATTGAATTTCCATCGCTACTTTTTCTGTTCGTAAAGGGAAACACTCAGCAAAATGTTCATTTCAAGCTGTCTTGATAAAATCTTAAAAACAACTTTTACTTTCGATACCTGTTCACGTTCTTGTGAGAAGAAGCGATGCATCGTGTACGGAATATGCACAGTTTACGCGAATAGAAAATTGAGGATTCGAGGTAACTGTTGGAGAGACAAGAGTGTCGTTGTGAGTTTAATCAACGAGGAATGTTGGATGTTGGCCAGCCTGGACCATTTAAAGACCGACCATGGCCATACAAGATCCCTCGATGGCATGCTGACAAATTTTCTCATACATACGACACGTGAACCGATTTCGAGAGACCACGAAGATCATAACACTATGTTGACTGTGGTCGGTGATTAGACTTTACAATCTTGTCCAAGAGTTTTTTGGAGGAGTTTGGTAATTTAGATTTGTGGAAATTTGGCAGGTTGGGAATTTGGAAATTAGGGGATTGGATTTGGGTGGGTATGGATATTGGGAACTTGGAAATTAGGGGATTGGATAAGGGTGTGTATATGAATATTGGGAATTTGGAAATTAGGGGATTGGATTTGGGTGGGTATGGATATTGGGAACTTGGAAATTTTGGGATTGGATAAGGGTGTGTATATGGATATGTAATGGTATATCTTCCAATTTGGGGACTTTAGGGAGATTTGAAAATTTGGGGTTGGAAGGATATAGGGACAATTTGGGAATTTTGTAATTCGGTGATTTAGAAATTTAGGAAATTTGCATAGGAAAATATTTACATTAGAAAATTTAGAAATGTATTTGAATATTTGGAAACTTGGAAATTTACAGCTTTGGAAGAAATTTGAAGAGTTCTGAAAATGTAGAAATCTAGGAATGTAGTGATTTGGAAATTTAGAAACTTGGAGATGTAGTAATTTGGAAATTTAGAAACTTGAAAATTTATAAATCTGAAAATGTAGTAATTTCAAAATTTGGAAACTTGGGTATGTAGCTATTTGAAAATGTAACAAAAAACTTAAATTTTCACAAAAAAAAAACTTGGAAATCTGAAGATCTGAAACCTTGAAGATAAAAAATTTATGAATTTCAAAACTAGGAACTTGAATATTAAATAATAAATTGTAAATACCATTGTCAAAATGTTATCTAATTTCTTTCAAAGACGGAAGCATCTAAATTCAGTAGAGCGAGTGCGTTTTAATCAGACGCCAGAGTCAAGTTCATTGGCAAGACTAGAGTGACCTCACCATAAGTTCACTACAAAAATAAAAGTTCGTTAAAAGAACTTTTAACCAGTAATTTCAGTTACATCGTATGTTACTATATTTTCTAATAAAAAATACACTGTAATGTTAGTCTACACTGAAATAAATTAGTGTACTTCTATCATGAACTTATATCAAAAGAATCCTATTCGAATTCTTCAATTAAAAAATTTACTAACACCAATATATTATTTAAAATAAATTGCGATTAGTCTAGTTTTATCCTAATTTTGTAGCAAAAGAATCCTACTTGAATACTTCAATAAAAAAATTGTTCAAACACCAATATATTATTTTACATAAATTGCGATTAGTTCTATCACGAATTTGTAGCAAAACTATTTGAATACTTAAATCAAAAAATTGTCCAAACACCAGTATTTAAAATAATTCGAAACCTTAATCAGTGAAGTAATTGAAAATAGAATTGTTTAAAATTCATGATCACTCTAATCGAAATACTGAAATTTCGCACTAGTCACTGAACCATGCATGAACAATTCGAACCACCACTTTCGATGAGATACTCACATACATCACTGAAGACATAGTTTCACCGTAAAGTAGTTTAAAAAAAAGTACCAATTAACGAAAGAAAGACTAGAGACTATTAATACTGTTAAAAAAAGGAATATCGAGAGAAACCGATGATCGCGATTGTCGCGATTATCTTGCGGGCGTCTCGTCGACTCTCGTCTCGTGAATGCAGCGTCGCGACGCTCTGCGTCTTTTTATAAGATGCTTGCTACGTCAAATGGCTCCCACCGACCGAATTCCATCGTGCGACCAACCGAAATATTTGCCGTGTTTTCGAGCCAATTCCGTGAGAATTCGCAAGTATTCGATGCCAACACCGGAAACGATGATTCCGCGGTCTGTATCTTTCTCTCGTTATAGTCAATGACTGACCGTTTCATTCACGAGTAGTAATCTGCTTTTCGTCGAACGATACGTTTCTTTTCGTTTGTTTACATTGCAAACGGCGCTGATTAAAGATTGCGAGAAATGCGATTTTTCTCGATAAATCAAAAACATCTTCTGTTCTGGAAATTTGGAGAATTGGAAACTTTTTGTGGGCCACGTTGTGTTACCACAAATTTTTAGATTTTTCGTTTAGACAATTTACATTTCTGAGTTTGTAAATTTTTTTTTGGAAACCGGAAAATTTTTGCAGTTTTTAATTTACAATATTTTTATAAAAATTATTTTATAATTAAACATTTGAAATTTCCTAAGTTCCATTAATTCGAAACTTGTATTAGTTCAAAGATTTAATTTCAGAATTAGTGTCTTTAAAAATTTTTAATCTAAAATATTAAATCTATAAAACTGAAAACTAAGAACTGAAAGTGGATAGAAATTGAAAATTATATTTCAAAACTTTTAAACTTGTAAGAATAAACATAAAAGTTTTGAAGTTGTTAAATTTCTAAAATTGAAAAAGTATACAAAGAATTTTCATGATAGAATAATATTATAGTTCTGAAGAAAAGTAATAGAATTGTGCTTTTTGTGGACAGTTGTATATTTGCAATCGGTTCATAAGAACGTTGAAAAACGTACGAGTTAAACTCGGGAAATTTGCATTTCGAATTGTATTGGTTCATGGAATGTTAAGCTTCAAGGGAACGCGGGATATTTGCGGGAAAGAGAAAATACGCAAAACACCGGATTAAACATTCATTTGAACCAAAACGGTTGAATATTTCGCATTCCATGCTAATTTTAAATATTAGTATTTCGATGAAACTGCAAGTGTTGCATATAGTTATACTTTTCGCTGTGCAGACTTTAAATTGTACCAACACCTAACAAATCTTCAGGATATTATAAATAAGATAAATTAGGTATCTCTGTTCTTGTTTTTGTTTCGAATAGAAATCGTACACGATGTGTAATATGCCGAGTGACCATATAACGCGTGGTAACGCTTTATCAATTTTTGAAAATTTTGGGATTTGATCTTTTGGAATTGTGGATTTGGAGAAGTTCAGAATTTCTGAAATTTGAAATCTATGAAATTTGGGGTTTCAGAAATGTGGAAATTTGAGAACGTGCATATTTTCAAATTTGTCGATAAATTTGATAATTTGAAAGTTCGAAAGTTGGTAAAATTGGGAATTTCTAGATTTCTTAATTCACAAGAGAATGAACCTTTGATCTTCCTAGATCTACCTAGATGTTGCAATCTCCCTAGATCTCCATACACGAATGTGCCAAAGAAATTTGTCGATAAATTTGATAATTTGAAAGTTCGAAAGTTGGTAAAATTGGGAATTTCTAGATTTCTTAATTCACAAGAGAATGAACCCTTGATCTCCCTAGATGCTGCAATCTCCCTAGATCTCTATACACAAATGCACTAAAGAAATTCGTTCAATTTCCCATATGAGCATAAGTCATAAAAACTTTACTGTGTATACCTAACCTAGCCTAACGCCAAATAATCTGTTAATTTAAATTGAAAAATTAAACCCACCATAACCTTAATAATAGTAACAAGCATTGTCTCACATTTTTCTTCACTATGGAATTTAAGATCCAACATTCCCAACAGAAACATCGACATTAGAGAAAAAAGTCAGTGAATTATTTAATGGAAACTCGTGAGATGTGATTTATGCCGATCTTAACGCGTTCCCCTGTCCGATCCAGCTCGTATATCGCCACTTTGTCAGTGATAAACCGTTCGCCGTGTTCCGAGATTAATTTGGGAGATCGGAACACGACGAACCTCCTACTCGTTAGATTGCTACCGGGAACTTGTTCCGCTATTTTTTTGGCAACGTTAAAGATTTCCTAAATGGCCACGTTAGACCGAGCCAATTTATCTAGACGCCATTTCGGAGTAATTGGGACGCCAATAATAAATCGACGTTTCATTTTTCAGGAAGTGCTAGAAAGATATTCTGAAATGTCGCTTCTTGTGCAATAACTTTGGCATTATGCAATAGTTTTATTGACCTTCATTAACTGACTCCGTTTTAGGATACATATATTTTTCGTACAAGTATTAGATGTTTCAATTAGGTTCTACGTCTCAATTGTTGTCACTGGAAAGTAAAGAATGACTGATGAAAGCAGTAGATCATTTCAGACCATTTTATAATCGTGACCGGTCACGGTAAAGACATACTTGTTCACGATCAAGCTCAGCCGTCAGGCTCGAAGCCATCACTCTCGCGCGTGTTATTCTCGCACTCCGCTTGGTCAGTGTTTTTCGTTAATAATTCAAAAACTAAGCTTCAGTCAACATTTTGGTAAAGGAAAAAGTTGTTCAGTATCACCCCAGCTCCCCTGAAATTATGCCCACCAATAGTTGAACATCCTGCATGCCTGTTAAAATAATTTACATGTTCGACTTGTAATGAGACAACCTATGAGTAGGGTGTTCGTCATAATATGAACCAATATTTTTTTTATCTCCTATTTCTCAACCCTTTGCTCTACAATATCGTATCATACTCCTGACGCACACTACAGTTCATTCTTGATAAGACTCATATTTTCATCCCAATTTCGGGTTCGCTTCTAATTACAATCTTCACAAGAATCGTTTTATAATAAACGTCCATAGGTTTTTAACTTTCTTTGTTCATCGTCTCATTGTAACAATAATTAGTCATCTGTGCATGACGCAACTAGAAAATTGTAGATAAAGTTTCTTAGTGAAATATAAGTTTCTTTTTAAGTAAATCTCTGAATCTAGTTTGTGAAAACCTGAAAGGGTTAACTCGTTCTATATCGAATTCCCGAATATCTTGAACACTGACCTACGCAAGGTGTTCGATGCTCATCATCCGACATGAATCACGTTCTAAATTGCCTGAACGCGTGGACGCTGTTGAAAAACCATCTTGAATTGTGACGCATCGCAAGGTAAATTTAGTGCAACGTCCTCTGAAGAACGTGGTGGCCACGCGAGATCGTGGCATACGCGTTTACTATTATAGCCGAGGGCGCTCTCGTTGACGTAGCCGTTCATTGATGGCTACCGTTCGACGACGCAAAAACCCAGCTAATTCCGCGTTTCCGCTCGGGGGATGCTCCTTTTACGGTTTCACAAACAGTCTCGAGCCGATTGCAACACGCTAAACGAATCAGCTAGAACTACTTGGAATGCGGTGCGTACGCAAATTACTATTAAACGAATTACTTTGTTTATTTACATACAAGATGAGATAATCGGTTGAGCTACCTGTCGTTACATCGCGAAATTGCTTGGCTGCCAATGCTGTTGGGTTAATTAATGCATGTCGAGTTCTTGGATCGCGAAGACGGACGCGATTAAATTAATTGATTCGATAAGTTGTAGTTTTATTATTACTAAGTAGTTCGTAACAATTTGTACGTTCGTTCATCTTGAAATTTGAGAATTGAAAAGTTTGGAAATTTGAATCTGGCGCCGAACGCGGTAATGGCGCAGATGCCATGGTAGAGCAGGTAAGTGAATACATAAGAGTTAAATAAAGAGCTTATAAATATATCGATGATTTATACAATGATGTAATTATTTTATATAGATTTAAGAGCGAATATTGGAGGAGTAAATTATTGCGTATTTCGCTAAGTCCTTGCACTAATTTCTTAAACAAATGATAGTTCTATTAAACAAGTTACTTTTAGTCTTCTGAATAAGTGGCTAATAATTAAATTATTAAAAACACAGGAGCATTGCAAAATTTAAATTGTTACATCCTTAATTGTTTACAATACAATATTTCTCGTATTCTTCGATAATTTCAATTTATATCAAAAGATAATTGAGGTTGTTGTTCTTAGCAAATATCTAAGTCTTCAAAGTTTCTTCAAACATTACCTAAAAATATAAATAAGAACTTTGCGTAATTTTCTAAAATGATCGAGAAAACAAAGCAGTCACCTTTCTACGAATAATTTTCGAAATGCACTCTGTTAGTAATGAAAGTATCTATCGTCGCGTCGAAAAATCTTTGGACGCAATAAACGCGAACTTTGGACCGATTCAACGAGGTTCAGCGGTATGAAAATTAAATGAAAGTTCACAAATGCTTTGTGACGCTCGAATGAGACCGTGGGCGAAAGTTTTTTTCACCTTGCTTCTAAATTAGATTAAGAAGCGTGTTGATTCGCTCGTACTTATCATTTATTTTCTTGTTTGCTTCGCATATTTACAAACTTTCACTTCAAAAGATCGATAGCTAATTAAATTGCAACATTTTATGCAAATGTATACATTACTTTCTGTGCAGACATGTATTTTATATACTTTAAACGTGTATTTTATGCGTACGTAGATTTTATTCCGTTTAACATTTATTTTGCGTGACTCGGATTCATGTCTGATACATAATATGTTTATTCACTTGTAAAATCGTTAATATGGTAACAAATATAAATATAAATGCTGTGAAATTGACGTAGCAATGAACAGAAAGTCTATGTGCATTCGGAGAAAATTTTGAAATTAATGGCGTTATATGGCTGACCTGTTTCGAGTATTTTCACTTAATTCCATAATACTGCTACCACGTTCGATCATGGAATTATCTACTAAACGAAAATCTACTGTATGTTTCGACTGAACTTATTGTTAGACTTCCTTTGGATAATCTAGTAAAAATTAATAAAACGCTGAAGCCTCTATTATAAAACGAACCTAAAGATTCAATGAAATTTTAGAAAATTTTGAAAGGTTCCAAAGAAACTCTGAAATAATAAATCTTTACAAAACGCTTTTCGTTGCAAAATTTTTAACCATACTTAAATTTGCTGGTGGAAATAAGTACATGACACAGAGTTGACAAAATGGAAGTCTTCTAAATATTCTTAAAATACAACACTTCAGTAATTTACGTTCAGTATTCAGTTTCACAAACAAACTTCAGTACTCAATTTCCATAACTTCTTTTTCCAAAAGAAGACAGATATTATTACTAACCATATGCACAAAATTCCAAAAGATCAAAAACAGTAACGAATCATTGACGATCGAAAGAAGCAACGAGAATTAAACGAAGGTCCGAGCCAAAACCACTTCCCCTCTACTACCATAACAAAGTTTCTAAAATTAATTTTAAGGAATTTGTTGCCGTTCTCGTTGGTGACCTTCGCGTAACGATGATCCTGGACATTCTTTAACCCCTCCTTTGCTGTTGCGTCGCAAAA